ATCACAGTATGCATTTGGTAAAATTGATGACCCTGTATTGACAATCATTCACACTCCAAGTCTATGGATTACTTTAGGGTTCACTATCTGTGTTTAAGAGTCTATGAGTTTGGACAAATGTGTAATGACATGACTCTACCACCATGTTACCATACAGAATAGATTCACTTCCTTAACAGTCTCTCTGTACTCTACACATTTATCCTAACCTCTGGTAAGCAGTGATTTCTTTTCTTGTCCCTGGAATACTATGCAGCTGGACTCATCTTACAGTGGAGCTGCCTTAGCTTAGCTTCTTTCACTTAGTTTCATTTCTTTCTTGTCATTCGATGGCTCGCCTCTGTTCTTCTTAGAATTACATCGTGTGTGTGTGTGTGTAACTTTCAGTAGTTGGTTCTCTCCTTCCACCATGTGAGTCCCAGGGATCAAACTCAGGTTCAACAGCCTTGGCAGCGGGTGTCTTTAACCTCTGAGCCATCTCACCAGCCCTTATTTCTTTTTATACAATGCTTTTATTTTTTATTATATTTTCAATTGATGTGTATTTGTTGGACATGGTACAGCTTAACTTAAGTATGTCTTTGTTCTTTTGATTTGATGACATATGATGTGGTACATATTTTCATGTTTTCATGACTTATGTACATTTTCTTTAAAATTGTTTATTACGGGGCTGGAGAGAACACTGACTGTTCTTGCAGAAGACTCAGGTTCAAATCCCAGCACCCACATGGCAGCTAACAACTGTCTGTAACTCCAGTTCCAGGGGATCCGACAGTTCTTCTGACCTCTGCAGGCACTACAGGACATGGGTGCACTTACGTACATGCAGGCAATACACGCATACACATAAAATAAAACATTTTAAAATTGTTTATTACATTTGCTCATTTATATTGTGTATGTATATATGTGTGTGGGTATGTAGAGGTCAGAGAACAACTTTCTGAAATTCTTTTTTTAAACTCAGATTCTCAGACTTGGCAAGCAAGCACCTGAGCCATCTTGGCAGCTCAACGTATGTGTGTGTGTCTGTGTGTGTGTGTGTGTGTGTGTGTGTGTGTTCACATTCCCTTTTTTGCAAGTATTTGTGTGTGGTATGTGTGCCCGTGTATATGTATTATGCATGTGTGGGAGCACGAATGTGTGTTCCATGCACATGTGGAGGCCTGAGGTTGACACTGTCTTGCTTCATCACTGTCCACCTTATACACTGAGGCAGGGTCTCTATGAACCCAGAGCTTGCCATTTTGGCTAGTCTGGCTAGTCATCTTAGGAATCCCAGCTGTTTTAGCCTGAACTGAGATTACAGGCAGTCCTCCAGGCCCGCCTGGTTTTGATGTGGGTTTTGGGGATCTGAATTCCAGTCCTTACATTTGCAGGGCAAGCACTTTACCCACTGTGCCATCTTTCCAGCTCTGTTTCACATTCTTGAGTTTTAAGACTTCTTTGTATATTTGGGATGACAGTCCTTTATCTGCTGTTTTTTTTGTTTTGTTTTTTGGGGGGGGATTTCTTTGTTTGTTTTTTAATGTTGTCCGTCAGATTGTAGCTTGCCTTTATTTTTATTTTATGTGTATGAGTGTATTGCCTGCATGTGTGTAAGTACACCCATGTCATGCAATGCCTGTGGAGGCCACAAAGGGCATTGGATCATCTGGAACTGGAGTAAGGGATGGCTGTTAGCCACTATGTGGGTGCTGGGAACTGAACCTAGGTCCATTGCAAGAGCAGCCAGTGCTCTTAGCTGCAAAGTCATCACTCCAGCCTCACTTGTAGTAAATTTTTGTGAAGGGTATGAGGTCTAGGTCTAGAGTCTCTGATCTTGTAGATGTCTGGTGGCTGAAGCCTCACTTGCTGAAAACTTCTCTATTTTATTATCTTTATTTCCTTGTCAAAGATCAGCTGACCATATGTCCTGGATTCATTTCTGTTGCTATGATAAAACACCCTGACAAAAAAGCAACTTAGGGACAAAAACACAAACTTAGGATTTATTTTAGCTCACAATTCCAGATTATAGTCCATCACAGTAGGGAAGTCAAGGTGGCATGAACACCTAGCCATGTCATATCCACAGTCAAGAACAGAGAGGAATGAATACATGCCTGCTTGCTTAATACTGGTCCGCTCACTTTCTCCACTCTTACACAGACCAGGACCCAACCCCAGGGAATGGTGCTCCCCACTTTTAGGCTAGGTCTTCCCCATCATTCAATATAATCAAGACCATCCTCCACAGACATGTCCACAGCATAAGTCAATCTGATCTAGAAATCTATCGAGATTCCTTTTCCAGGTGATGCTAGATTGTGTCAAGTTGACAAAACTAACACACTACAGTTATGTGGACTTATACTGTGCTCTCCATGTTCCAATAATCCACTGTCTGTATCTGTTCTTTCACCAGTGTAACACTGTCTTGATTACTAAAGGTTTATAATACATTTAAAAAATAATTATTTTTATTTTTATTTATGTGTATGTGTATGTGCATATATATGTACGTGTGTGCAGGTGCCTGTAGCAGCCAGAAGAAGCTGTTGGATTCCCACAAGCTGGAGTTACAGGAAGTTGTGGGTTCTGGGAACCAAACTTGGGCTCTCTGGAAGAGCAGCAAGTACTCTTAAACAATGAGCCATCTCTCTGTAGTATGTTTTGAAGTTGGATAATGTCAATTCTCCAAGTCTGTTGTTCTCTTTCAATACTGTTCATGTAATTTTCTCCCTTGGAAAACTAGATGGAAAAAAAAAACAACCCTAAAGTAAGAAGCAGGATAGATATAAAAAGAGTAGAAATCAATAACTGAAAACAGAAAATCAGTGGAGAAAATCAATGAGGCCAAAAGCTGGTGCTTAGAAAGGATCAATTAACAAATAGTAAAACTCTGGACAAGCTAAGAGAAAACGACAGTAGTTAATATCAGAAATGAAGAAGAGGACATTACTCCAGATCCCATGGACAGTAAAAGGGTAGGAGGCAGGAAAGATGGCTCCAGGGGTGGAGTCCTGCTGTGTGTGCTGGCTAGTTTTTATTGTCAAGTTGACACAAACCTAGAGTCACCTGGGGAGAAAGACCCTCTTGAAGAACTACCTCCATCAGACTGGCCTGAGACCATGTCTGTGAGGAACTGTCTTGACTGGCAATCGATGTAGGAGGGCCTAGACCACTGTGGGCAGCACCACTTCTAGGGAGGTGGGTCTGGGCTGTATAAGAAAGCTAGCAAAGAGCAGAAGTCAAAATAAGCCAGTAAGTAGTGCTCCTCCATGGTTTCTGCTTCAGCTCCTGCCTGACTTCCCTCAGGGATAGACTATTACCTTGAAGTCAAATAAACCCTCTCCTCCTCAAGTTGCTTTTGGTCAGCATGTATTACCACAGTAACAGAAAAGCAAACTAGGACACTCTGCAAGCACGAGGATCTGAGTTTGATTCCCAGAACCCATGGAAAAGCTGGGCTAGGACTGAACTCTTGGGGGTTGGTGCCCTGGACTGTGAATTTCACGCATGCTTACTGTCTCTCCCTCAGGTGGGCCAGGAAGGGTAGAGGGTGTTTGATTTTGGTGCTTATCTTCTCCCAGGTAGATTAGGCTCTGCTAAATTAGTTTCCCCAAGGCAATCCTTGTTCAGAACAACAAAATGATCTGATGGGTTTCAAAACAGATTTGCCTCCTCTTCCCATGACCTGGAGGGAGCACAAAATGATTTTTCTCCCCTACCATATTTGCTTGATTCAAGGACAAAGCAGAACTCCTGAGGTAACAAACTTATAAAAAAGTGTACACCTTTGCTTCCTACTCCCTTCCCTGACTGAGTCCTCCTGGAGCTTTTTGTGGGTGTATGTGTGGAGGCCAAAAGTTGATGTCAAGTATCTTTCCCAGCCGCTTTCCACTTTGTTTAAAAAAATATTTACTTTCTTTAATGTATTTGTGTATGTGTCTTCCTGTGGGGGTGTGTACCTGTGCCCGTGTTCAGAGCCAAGAGGAGGGTTTCAGGTGTCTTCCTCTGTCACTCTGCCTATTCCTTTGAGGCTTTCTCCTTCAACCTGGAGCTTGTGTTTTCTCAGCTAACCTGGAAGCCAGCAAACTCCAGTGACCATCTTTTCTCCACCCCCTCAGGCCTACATGCCTGGCTTGTTATGTTGGTGCTGGGTGCATGGGTTCTGGGGGTTGGTTGAACTGGGATCTTAATTACAGCCCTCATGATACCACAGAAGTACTCTTAACAGCTGAGCCATCTCTCTAGTTCCCTCTACCTTGTTTCTTGAGACAGGGTCTTTCACTGAATTTGGAGCTTACCAGTTTAGCTAGACTAGCTGGCCAGTAAGCACCAGGGCTCCCCGTTTCTGTACCTCCCCAGCTCTGGGATTACAAGCATGCATCACTATGCTTAGATTTAATTTTTTTTCATTTTATTTTTATTTGTTATGTGTATAAGTGTTTTGCCTGCATGCATCTAAGCGTACCCATGTGTGTGCAATGCTTGTAGAGGCCAGAAGAGGGCATCAGATCCCTGGGACTGGAGTTACAAATGGTTGTTAGCTACCATGTGGGTTCTAGGAGCAGAACTTGGGTCCTCTGCAAGAGCAGCCAGTGCTCTTAATCGCTGGGCCCATCTCTCCAGCCCCCATACTTAGATTTTTTTTACATGGGTTCTGGGGGTTGAACTCAGGTACTTAATGACCATGTGGCAAGCACTTTTCCTACTGAGCCCTTCCTCCAGCCCCTTTCTGGAGATTATAACACTCAGGTATGTCCATACTGAGCTTCCAGCAATTTGTCAATCACATTTAAAGTTTTCTGGCCCTGTGCACTGGTTTCTCTGTGTGGGTTTCTGTTCCAATCAGTTGTGATTCTCTGTATTCACCTGTTTTTTTCCACCTTTGGAATGGCACTTAAGCCTTGTGACCTCACTTCTCTGACATAAGAACTGTTGATTTTTCAGTTCAGCTTTATTCCTTGTTCTTTTTCTTTTTTTTAATTTCACATTTCCTTTGTTCCAAGGCAAAGGAGGAGCACAAGGTTGAGATGGTGTTCACTACTCGCTGCAAAGCAGCTGTGACCTTCCAGACAAGTGGGGACTCGTGGCGGGAGCAGAAGGAGAAGCGAGCAGCTGTAATGGTGGGGATCCTGATTGGTGTGTTTGTACTGTGTTGGATCCCCTTCTTCCTCACGGAGCTCATGAGCCCATTCTGTGCCTGCAGCCTACCCCCTACTTGGAAAAGCATATTCTTGTGGCTTGGATACTCGAATTCCTTCTTCAACCCCCTGATTTACACAGCCTTTAACAAGAACTACAACAATGCCTTCAAGAATCTCTTTACAAAGCAGAGATAAGAGGATTTGGAAAAACATAGGTGCAGGTTTGGGAAGAATGAGGGAATTTGTATTCCCCCCTTTGGTAGGGATTAAGGAGCCTTCCCTCTGCAGCTGAGCACTAATGACACTTTGAAAGCCATACTGTTGAGCCTGGATTGTGGAAGCAGCTCTCATGAAAAGTAGCAACTATATGGTAAATGTGCCACTATGCCTTCTACCTGAGGACATGGCAGACATTACTAATGGATCATGACACATTTCTGCACTAGGCAGAAATCCCACCTTCAAATCCTTTCAGGATATACTTTAGGTAGTTACTCCTTGTGACTTAGCCCTTTATCCACCTGATAAGCTTACCTTCCTCAGCCTCTTACATGTCCCCAACAAGGAGTGATTCTCACTGTGGGAAAAGATGAGTCTCATCAGAAGCTCTGTTAAAAAAGTGTCCAACAGAGGGGTCCATGAGACAGCCCAGTAGGTAAAGCTACTTGTTACCAAGCCTGATAGCCTTAGTGCAGTTCCTGGGACCCACATGATGGAAGCAGAGAACCAATTCCCACAAGTTGTTATCTGACCTCTGTACTTGTGCCAGTGAGCCCCTCCCTGACAAGGACACAACATAAATACATGTAATTTAAAAATTGAAATAAAGTATTTCATAATTCACACCTACTGCATCAGATTCTCAAAAAGAGATCTGGTGATTGAGTATTGCAGTGTTACGATGCTTTTCTGTTCTTAGTCAATATGAGATACTCCTGGATACTCATGTTACTCTTTAACATTTTTAAAAAGACAGGGTCTCCCTGTAGCCCCAGCCGGCCTGGAGTGCACTATATAGATCAGGCACTATATAGATCAGAAATCCACCTGCCTCTGCTTCTGAGTGCTGGGATTAAAGGTGTGTGCCATCACACCCCGTGAGATTTATTTTTATTTTTACTTATATGTATGTGCCCAGGGAGGCCAGAGGAGGGCGTCGGATCCCCTGGAACTGGACTTACAGGTAGCTGAGTTGCCCAGTATGGGTGCTAGGAAGGAAACTTGGGTGCTCTGGAATAGCTCTCTCCAGCCCCTTATGTTACTCTTCAGACCACTGAAATAGCCATTCCTTGGGGGTGACCTAGAGAGGACTCCTTAAAGCTCAGCACATGGTTCCAGTGTGTGGATAGTTAGCAGTCCAGGTGAGAGCTCTTCTAGAGGAGCAGCCATGAGACACATCCCACTACTTCTGCATACTGACATTTGTGTGATAAAAATACTGAGGTGTTCTTTTTTGGCTCCCTCTATTTATGGTACGTACACTGGGGGGGGGGAACGAAGCTTTTGTAGGAGTCAAAATCAACACTAAGCAAGTCTCTGTGTTATAAATACTTTTGGTTGAGGCACTGAGAGTCATCTTCAGCTGTGCAGCTACAAAAACCTGGTGGTAACAGGACCTCGATTACCTCGCCTGGATGCCTCTGGCTTATGTAGGGTTTCACCACTCTCAGTCTGCCCTCCCAACCCTCCCTGGGGTAGCAAGGAATGCTCTCAAGAAGAGGGGGGAGAGAGTAAGCAAACCACACAGCTTCAAAACTCAGTCCAAGTTTGCTAACAGCCCACAGGCAAGTAAAAGCCTGAAGTGAAGGAACAGAGAATGTAAAATGTCTCAGCTCTGCATGTTCCAAGTTAAGGACAACAGAGCTGGGGAAATGACTCAGTTGACTCAGTGGGTAATGTGCTTGCTGCTTAAGTGTGAGGACATGTGTTCAAATCCCCAGAGCCCACACAAAGCTGGATGCAGCACCATGTTTGTAATCCCAGAGCTCTTACGGCAAAATGGGAGGCAGACAGGATTCATGGGAAGTTCATGGGCCAGCTAGCTTGGTGTCTAAGAAACCTTGCTCCAAACAAGATAGAAGGCTAGGACCAGCACCCACAAATGACCTTTGACTTCTATGCATTCTATGGCAAGTGTGCTCCTGTACAGACACAGGCATACACATACACACACACACACACACACACACACAGTTAAGGTAAACAGGGACAACAAATATCTAAGTCTAATATAAAGGCTGGAGATAGAGCTCAGTTAGAGTACCTGCCTAACATGCACAAGGGCCTGGGTTCAGTCACTGCACCACATAAGCAGGGTGTGGCAGCACAAACTTCTAATCTGAGCATTCAGGAGGTAGAGGCAGGAGAATCAGGAGTTCAAGGTCATCTTTAGCTATATAGGAAGTTCAAGCCTGGGCTACATGAGACCCTGTTTCTGTCTGTCTCTTTCTCATACACACACACACACAGAGGTTAAATCTTGAGGAACTTTTATCTCAGTTACATGTTCATCAGGACTATTGCAGTGATCTCTTAACTGGACTTTGTCCATCTGCCCTCACCTCCCTGCAGTCTGTGATCAACAGTCTCCAGAGTCCCATTAAAGTTGTTTCCCTTTTTAAAACCTTCAATGGCTTCCCATACAGGTCTCCCTAGAGTTACCCAAATTCAGCTAGGCATGTGCCTATGTCAGGGTCTTTTTGCCTGCTGTTCACTCTGCCTGGAATTCTCACCTACATCTCCATTGACTCCCTCCCTGATCAGTGGTGGAGGCCTTCCCCAATTTCTCACAACATTGCAGCCACCACTGAATTAGACACTCCTGGTTAATTCTGGCTTTAGTGAACAAGTTGAAGCAATAGATAACTTACAGAGACATTGTGTATTTCTTCATGGCTCTGTCACTGGAAGGTAGGTTCTTGTCTGCCTTATTCACATAACATACCTACTGGGCTGGGGATGGAGCTCATTTGGTAAAGTGCTTGCCTAGCATGCATGAAGCTCTGGGTTCCATGGCAGTACTGCATAAAGTGGGCATGATGACACACACCTGTAATCCTACCACTGGGGATGTAGAGGCAGAGGTTCACATGTTCAAGGTCATCCTCAGTAAACAGTTTGAGGCCAGTCTGGGATACAAGAGACCTTGACTCCACATTATGCCTGTCCCCCACAAAAAGGAAAAAAGAAAACAGATTTATGGATGCAGAATATTCTTCCATGATTTTTTGAAAACAAAACACAAATTTCAAAAAACTATTTTTTATAGATAATGCATGTACATGGTACAAAATTCCAAAGAGTACAAAAGGTATACAGTGAAAAGTCATTCCCATCCCCCTCCCAGAGGAAGCAAGGCTGCCAGGTTGCTGTAACTTCTCAGAGACATTCTAGGCACAGGCAAGCAGATGTGTCATAGGCATACATGAATATATGCACACACATACACAAACAATTTTCTCTGTTCCAAACACTAGTATTTCATACATGTTTTTCTTCCCCCACTTAACCATGCGTCTTTATGATCTTGTGACCATTCTCTGGCAACATACACACAGCAGATATGCCACTTTAGCTGTCTGCAAATACACCACTGTGGACACTGGCCATGATCTTTTCACTGCCATCCTACATTAATGACAGCTGCTTTTTTATTATAAACAATGCCTTAATAAAAATCTTTGTACACAGGAAGAATTCCTAGATGTGCACTGCTGGTTGGGATGATGATCGGATGGTTAAACGCCACACTTGTAATGCACACTGTCCAACTGTCCTCCATGGAGGCTGTGGGGTTCATAATCTACCATCGCTGTATGAGCGGCACTGCTCCCCACAGCCGTACAGCACCACCCCGCTTCTGGGATTCATATGGCTGAGAGTCTTCTACCCCTTAAGTGGCCTTCAGATTCATCAAGCATTTGAGGAGAGAACACACTCACAATCTTATCTGACATCCGTGCCGCTGAAAAGTTTGAAAACTCCTGACATTTTTTTTTTCAACCTCAACCTTTAAGGTTAGAGAATAATAAAGACATACCTAGAGAGCTCTTCTAATTACTGTTGAGATATCGGGTTGTCAACATGTTTCAAACAGCATAGATTACATTAAATCTAAATTTTGCTACTACAGGGATGCAGAGCCAACTGGAGCCCATTTAACCAAGCAGAATGCCCTGATTGTTTAGGGGAACCACAGTGATGTGGGCACAGTCCTTGCTGCCCTATGCATTCCAGAGAGGGTAGGCACAGGCCTCACAAAGGACTAAGGGACACCCAACAGTGATGTGTATCATCAGGACTGACAGTAGGGCTGTAGTGGGTAGACTGTGATATGATCAGGAGGCCAATGTGAAAGGGAACTGCACATGTGCCAGGTGGTCACGGAAAGCCACTGCCAAAGCCTTGAAGAAGACAGAGCTCTAGGCACAGGGCACAGGAGGGAAATATCCATGGAGGGTGTGAGCTTGGCCCATGTGGGAAACTGACACAGGCTAATGAAGACACAGAATAAGTAATTTCCCATGGAATCAAATGCACTGCAGATGAGATACTAATGCCTCTCTCACAATCCTATGCAACACATCTATTCTGAAGAGGGAAGATATGCAGTATTTTTGTGTGTGTTGATATGTGGGGATAGTGGTACATGTACACATGTGTATGAGTATATCTGGCATGTTCCTCTCCATCTTATTTTGTGAGACAAGGTCTCTCAACTGAACCTGAGGTTCACCCATTTAGCTAAGCTGGCTGGTCAGCAGGCCTCAGGGATCCACCTGTCTCCACTTCCTTAGCGCTGAGATTACAACAGTATACCACCATGCCTGGCTTTTCACATGGGTGCTGGCAATAGAACTCAGGTCCTAATGCTTGCAAGGAAAGCTCTTTACTGACTGAGCCACCTCCCCTGTCCTCCATTACTGTTCACGCATCATTTCAGCCTACCATCACGTGTAGAAAGGTACACTCAGTGTGAAAGACCAAGGGAGAACATGGGGATTTTGAGACGCATCGTGCAAGGCACTTCAGGGCCACGCTGAGCTACAGGCACAGAGAGTGACACCCTGCTACTAGGCTCTTGGTTGCACTGCTCTGCACAGTGCACTCTTTTGTCTCAGTCATGAACACATCATGGAACACTTCTGAGATTACTTCCTCAAAGTATGTTTCAATTCAGCTACCTGAAGAATTTCACAAGGGACTCAGGCTTAGCTAAAGCCACTGTTAAGAAGTTATTGCTAAGATGCTCTTTCCTTTAAACTAACTATCCATCACCAGCAGAGTAGACAAGATAGGACCATGGAGAGGCAGCAGGAATGAGGCACAGCTGAGCATCCCATGTGTCCTTTCAGGTAGATCTACTTTCCTCAGGATGGATGTGACCAGGGCCTGTCAAGGTGACAGTCCATGGGAATGGCCCTTTGTGAGGTAGTAAGAGGGCTGCCTAAAGGCCTATCCTAGACTTTGCTCAATGTTTCAGGAGGTCTCCAGGAACAGCCTGGAGAGGGAAAGTCCTCTGCCATGCACCAGTGTTCCTGCCTTTGGGTTCCTCCCTGTCCTCCAACTACGGGCTACAAGCTAACCTCACATTTAGCCAGAAGATCAGACTAACAGGAGTGTATGCTGACAAACCTGAACTCCGCCTCTTCAGATGCAGCTTGGCAGCTATTCTTCAGCACTCTGTACCTCCCTGTGGTACTGGTCAACTCCAGCTGCACACCAGCACCAAACATAGGACAACAGAATACTACAGCATCTTCCAGAACCTTCACGCTCATCTCAGTCTCGTTCTGTGCATAGCTGCTCTGAGCCTGGTTTCAACTGGAGCATCCTTGGTAAGATGCACATGGGAAGGAGGCAGCCTCTGATCCATATGCTGGTTCTAAGAATGCATGGCACTGGGAGTTAGGCCTGGTAATAAGCTCACTGCTCTGAGTCTGGTTTCTCTTAAAGGGCACATTAAAAAGTCAAGGATATTTTCCCACTGCCTTACAATTCTTGAAAAAGCCTGTGGGCTCAGCGCATACTGCTATACTATGTCCAGGCACAGAAGACACTGCCCTGGGAGACCCCACCCCCACCCCTTCCCCAGTCCTCAAGTAGCTTCTGAAATGACTAGGGGCCTCGGAGAATCTTCTTACCTGATAATAAGGCCTGACTGCACAGTCTACGACATGTTGGAATTACCCACAAAATTGCCGTCTCTGCTTTAGGCTGTCAGAAGCAAACATGAACTTCTCAAGGCTGGCTTCTGTAGCCTAATTCAAAGTGTGTTCAAGTAGTACAGACTACTCAGAGGCCTTGAAAACAATACAGGCTATTGCTCATGGGTACCCAACAAACTAGAGAGTAAGATGTTATTGCTGAAGATACCACACCCTTTGGTTATAGGACCCAGAGAAATCATGTCAGAACTGAGCTAGAAGCATCCTCCCTGCTGGCTGGTTTTCATAGTAGCAGAAGCTGCTATGAAGACAGCTGGGGGAGAAAAGTCATCAGTAGTCTTACCCAGCTGTGGACCTTGCTGGCTATAATACCAACTTGCCAGGCAAGGTGTGACCACTGGTGCAACAGTGGCATGACTGTTATGGGAGGAACCAACTGTATTCTGTTTGGGTCTTGTCCTGCTCTACAGGAGGGAAGTTCATACCCAGTACTGTAGACCAAGTAACACAAATTATTCATCATCTGTATTAGTCATTGAAGATTAAAAAATGGGACAAAGTATCCACCACTCTCTCTACCAACTGTCCAGTCAATGCAACATGACATTGTCATCTACAAAGTTCATACTCTAGAGCAGTGCAACTGAGATTAAAAAAAAAAAAAAAAAAAAAAAAAATCACAGGAAATTCTCAAAGTTTTAAGTGACTTTACAATTTTGTGTTGGGCCACATTCATAGCTATCCTTGGCCACAGGCAGCATATGGTTGACCATGCTTACAATCAGACTAAGGGGAATTCCTAGAAACACGACTCTAGATAAAATTTCCATTTCCAGAACCAATTGTGGTTGCTTTAGATCAGTCATAGATAAGACTCTTGTAAACCTCATAAAGACTCTTTGTAAACCAGAACCTCTCTTGCTCCTGTCTGCCTTCCTACACCTGTGGTCAAACACTGAAGTCATCTCCTAACAGTTTGAGTTCTGTCAGCCACAGGGTGGGTGTATGAGCTTCTTCCCAAGAGATCATAGACAGATGCTCCTCTGAATTTGAAATAATTTCTAACATAGCCAAAGGGATGTCTCCTGCCTTCAAAGTGCCACTTTATTATCATTCTCATTCTTTTATAAGTATTTGTTTCCACAATGCCCCATGATCATACAGGGCCCAGTGGAGGAGGAGGCACACACATAGAGTCCAGAAGGTGCTTTAGGTACTACTGTCCCTACCAGTTCATCAGCCCCGCTAGTGCTGGTTCAGAAACTGAAGGTGCTATTAAGCCTGCATCAGCTTTTCTTTTGGGGGCTGGGGGCTAGAGTCGTGTAGCCCAGGTTGGCCTAGAACTTGCTATATAGCTAACCTTGAATTCCTGATCTTCCTGCCTCCACCTCCCTCCTGAGAGCTGGGATTTCAAACTTTCCATACCATGCTTAGCGTACACGGTTCTGGGGCTGGAAACCAGGGCTTCATGCATGTTAGGTAAGCATTCTCCCAACTAAGCCACACACCAAGTACCTCTTTTTTCTCTAAGTCTATATACATCACCCCTCTTAATCAAATACATTAGGAAACTAAAAATGAACAGTTTGTCTGTGACTGTGCCCAGTGCCCCACTTGCCTGGCATGGTTAAGCTTTTATGTTTAATGGTCCCAACCCACTGGTGGGACCATGTGTATGCAGTTTATGCAGAATGGCATGCAAACATCACCCTGGGCTTTGCTGACCGAGACCTATTTGCCAGGCTCCTGACAGCTAGATGTGGGAGACCTGTGATTGCTTTGAACTCATCATTTCCAGAGGATAATGCCCCTAGCACTACTGAAGGGCCTCCCAGTCTGGCCCCAGCCATTTTCCCAGCCTGATCTCTCAAGTCCCCTTTCTCAATATGTATGTACCATACTCTGCCAACCCCACCTCACCTAAAGCAGCATCCTAATATCCCTCTTCAGATCTAACCCAAGTGGGGTCTTCCTGCCCTCCCCTCCTCTGTGTTCAGCGCCTGCTCAGATTCCCCTGCCTGCTCTGAACAGAGTGCATATCTCCATCCTCACTCAGACCCTGACCTCTGCAGTGTTGGAACACAGGGTATGCTTAATATGCCCTTCCACATGTTGTGGGAGCCTTGAATAATAATGGGATATGGAAAGGCTTAATTCTTACCCGAGTGTCCTCACCAGGAGGCCTATTGGCAATGTTTCAGTGAAATGAACTTGAGCAGTATGCAGGATTAATGGAGCGACACTGAGCCACATTCCTAGCTGCCTTTTCCTGACTTGTGGGCTGGACACACCTACAGCCATACCAAAGGGAACTCCTGAGAAATAGGCCTCCAGATAAAGGTTTCCATTTCCAAAACCAAACATAGTTGCTTTAGATCAGTCTTTCCATACATCTACCCAACAACAGATAAATGGTTCACAGGCTCCAGCCTCCCTTACACCTGTGGTCTAATTGCACTGTATGTCAGCCAAACCTGCAAGCCCTATCCACTATGAGAAGCCAGAGCAGAGGCACAATGGCAGCTGCGTGGCCCAACGCGTCACAAGCCCATAGGCCAGTCCTTTACTCAACAGCCTTCTGCTTACTCAAAAACATTTCAGGGGCCAAGCTTTAGGATCAAATGGACTGTACCTGCTTCCCTGGGCCCTTGTTAGATGCCAGAGGGGCAGGAATGATGTTCTATGCTCCCCTGAATCTCCCTCAGTGCTTATTTCTCAGCAGTTGCTCAATTAATACTTGCTGAACATAATATTCCATTTTATTCGCCGGGCCCATACAAATTCTGGTACCTTCATAAATGCAATGTTACTGGAGAAATAAAAGTTGAATAGGCAGAGTGAACAATCACTGGCCATGTTTCTTCATCAGATGCTGGGCGACATCAAAGCCATGGTGTTTACTCTGTCTGAGTCCATCAGCCACAGCCAGGAGAGATAAAATGGAACAAACAGGACAAAGAAAACATCCATCCAGAGAGGTGAAATGAATCTGCCTGCATTTCTCCACTGTCGCCTTCAGATCCATTTCAGGATTGTGTAGTCTATACATACCGTTAAAAAAATATCAACGACACACAGAAATGGAGACGGATGTTCAGGAGGCCTTGGCTCTGACCTTGGACAGCAGCAGCTCATTCTTACGGCCCTCCTGGAAAAGCAAAGTGCAGAGAGAAGCAGCTAAATGTTAGTCATTGGTACCCATGTGGGGCCTGGCTGATGTGCTGGCTTTTGCCACAGTCTCTTGGTAATTGCATTTTTGGTTTTATTTTTTATTTTTTTTGAAACAGAGTCTCATATACAGCCCAGGCTGTTCTCAAACCAAGGATGATCCTGAGTTTCTGATCTTCCTGCCTCCACCTTCTGAAGACTTTAGTGTGTGTGTATGTGTGAAGTCAGAGGGTAACTTGGGGGGCCCGGGAATCATACTAAGTGAAGTGCCTTTATCCACCGATCCATCTTGTTTTTTGACATAGGGTCTCTTATTGGCCTGAAACTTGTCAAGTAGACTAGGCTGACTGGCCAGTGGGCCCCAGGGACCTGCCTGTCTCCACTTCCCCAGCACTGGGGTTACCAACATGTGTTACCACACCTGATTTTTTTTATGGATTGTGGGGATTGAACTCAAGACCTCATGCTTTAATGACTCAGCCAAATCCCCAGCCCCTGCTCTGGTCTTTAAAGGCTCATCTTGAGGTGAACAAAAATTTTATTTTGCCCCCCATCTGTCCTGCCTGCTCCCTCTTACCTCTTTGAACTCTTTCACAGTCTTGAAGTAGAGCCTCTGTTTTTCCAGCAGCTCCAAGTACTGATCATTCAACTGGTCTCTTCTCATCTTGTTCTCTTGTTTCTTCTTTTCCATCTGTTGAAAACATTTTGACAAATGGTGGACGATGAAAATGCATTCTGATAGTAACAGCAACAGGCAGCCATGACTAACATTTGCATGGGTTTCTTCAGGAATTCCCTTCCAAGCATAAGTTCCTAGGTTGGCTTATTTCCCTGTGTGATATTACCTGGAGGCTCTGTAATTTATTCAGTAATTCAACTGTGATCGAACATTAGACAAATGTCACATATTTCTGTCACTACAAACAGTTCCACAATAAACACTGTAATGATGCTCAACTGGGGACTACTTTGTCTCCAGGACATTTATCTCCAAGTGTTTTTGAGTGTCAAAACTGCTGGGAAGGAGAGCTACTGGTGTCACTGGACAGAGTATCCTACAAGGTGCAGGATGGCCCCATGGCGAACTGTCTGGTCCAAAATGCCAGCTGTGTTGTGGATGAGAAGCCCTGATGGATATAATTGGTTGTAAAATAAAGCTGCATATCGCCTTGCCATTTATCACACCTGGTTGACGGTATAGCCATTTATATCACACTATCACCATGCCCAAATCACTGCTGACTTACCCATCCTTCTACTGAGGAACAACAAAGGTTGCTCTCAGGATTTTGATCTCATATAGAGACTAGATGTTGATTCAAAGAGATTTTTCTAAGATAGTCAAAAAGCATGCCATGATGTGCAACTGGGGGTCAGGAGACAACTTTGTGGGAATCAGTTCTTTCCTACCATGTGGGTCCTGGGGATTGAACTCAGGTACTCAGGTTGTCAGGCTTGGTGGCAAGTACCTTTACCACTTTACAACTGAGCTGGTACCACCTTGTTTCTGTTTTTTGTTTTTGAGACAGGATTTCTCACTGGCCTGAAACTCTAAATAGATAGCTAAATAGGCTAGGCTGCTGAGCCATGAAACCCCAGAGATTTTCTAGTTTCTACCTCCAAAGTGCTAGGTTACAGGCATGCATAATTTTTTTTTTTTTTTTTTTTTCCTACAGGTCCCAGGTATCGAACTCTGGTCATTTATTCACTTAATAAATTTTAATGGAATACCTACAGTGCCTAAAATAGCAACATGCAAATAAAGTCCCCATTCTCACAGAGCACATCCTGGAGACTGGTACCAAATCAACCAAGCACTCAACAAACAGATGTATACTGAAGTTCCCAGTAGCATCAGTGCTCTGACGAAAGCGGCCTGGGGCAGAAGATGGTGAGGCACAAGTACTGTGAAGATCAGGGGGCTTTCTGAGGAGGGCACCCCAGCAGAGCCAGGGCAGGAGGTGCCGTGCTTCATTCTCTGAAGCTAAATGCAGAGCTGCCAAGTGGGAAGTGAAGGCACAGAGTTAAGGAAGCAGGACAGGTAGGTGCTGGCTGCATGAGGTTGTGATGGAGTGTGTGTGCGCATGTAGGCCAGAGAACAAACTCAGCTATCATCTCTCACCTTAGGTTCTGAGACAGAGGTGAGAACAGTAGACAGAAACTGGTCAGGTGGGACAAGGATCCCAAAGCAGCAGTTCTGAGACTCCTTGCTGGAGCCCAGAAATGCCAGAGGGAGTTCTGCTTCTGGTTTCTTGGTTAGCTTTGTCCCTCTGCCTAGAGGCTGTAGGTGATTATGTGAGTGAAACTGAGAGCAGGCACCTGGACACCTGGTTGGGCTGGCTGGACTGACTAGCTCATCCCTTTCCTCATAACTCACCCCCTTTTCTGCTCAGTCCTTCAAAACACCCTGGGACTAGTTGCTCAGTAAGACTAGCTGTACACCAATAACCACATGTGGGACCCCTCCTGCTATACAGGGGTCCCTCCCTCCCACTCTCCCTCCTTTTCTCTCTCAAGCTCTCACCTATGAATTTATAATAAACTCTCTAAAACTTACCCACAGTGGTCCATGAATATCATCCTTTGAATTTACAAGACAAGAGCCTGAACACACTGGTTCCTATTGAGTTTTCTGGGACCCCACCTCTCCAGACCCAGAAAGGCTCCATCATTTTCAGATACCCTGATATTCTCATATCAACAGGATCTCTCACTGGCCTGGGACTCACCAAGTAGGCTAGGCTGGCAGGCCAGTGAGCTCCGAGGATCCTCCTGTCCCTGCCTCCCCAGCACTGGATTACAAGCACACACCACCATTCCCAGCTATCTTTTACTTGGGTTGTGGAGATTGAACTCTGGTCCCCATACTTGCAAGGCAAACACTTTACTGACAGAGCTATCGCTCCAGCTTTATTTGTCATATTTATGGATGGTTCTTGAAAATGCTCTCAAGATCTTAAGACTCAGAAGGAATGAATGTGTCTAGATGTCAGGAGACAGAGACCCAGGAAGAGGTGCCTGGGCAAGAGAGGCTGCTGTGGAAAGGCGATCTCCTCAGGTGTTAAGTGGCAAGCAGCACTCAAGAGTCTTGGGAGGATGAGCACAGTGCCTGGACACAGGTGCTCAGTGTCTGGGAGCAGTGTGCAGGACAGGTCAGGATGGAGAACGCACTCCCACCTTCCCTGCCACCTTGGGATGGGCGGAACTACAAAAGAGGCCAGCTGACCTTCATCCTACTTTGTTTAATGCCTTCAACGATCTGTTCCATCTGCCTTAAAAACTGGTCCCGGGAACCAGGGGAAGCCATGGCTCTGAAAGAGAAATCAGCAGAGGTAGGAGCAACGCAGGACTGTCGAAAAGGACACACACACACACACACACACACACACAAGTCAGTCTCACACTTTGACTGTGCCCCAACAGGGAACGAGGCCTTTTCCAGGCACGTGGACCCATGGGGCCACCTGGAATCCCAGGCAGTTAGGATTCCAGACCTCTGATCTAATAACCAAACATTATTCTTTTATTTCCCATTCTCCCTACATTCCTGTGGTGAGGGGCTATAGGAAGAATGGTTTTCTTTGCAAAGATGAAGATAGATTCTGAGGAAAACTATGAAAGTAAGAAAATCCTGCTTTCTTTCTTCTTTCATATGTTAATCTGCACTGACAAGGCATACCTTCCCTTCCCTTCCCTTCCCTTCCACAGCAGCATACACAAACCAGGCAGCTTTCCAAGATTGAGCAGAGTGGGATCTGCTTCCTCCCAACTTCCTTAACTAATTTGTATTTTCTTAACATAAAATAAAATGTGATTAAAAATAACAGAAACAAGGGCTGGAGAGATGGCTCAGTGGTTAAGAACACTGGCTGCTCCTACAGAAGACCTGGGTTCGGTTCCTAGCACTCACATGGCAGCTAACAACTATCCACAACTCCAGTACCAGGGGATCTGACACCCTCTTTTGGCCTCCATGGGCACTGCACTCACATGGTGCACTTACATACTTGTAAGCAAAACACTCATACACATAATAAAAACAAACAAAAACTTATCAAAAACATCAGTTGCCTTGAATTATGGCATGCCCTGCTTGAGAAATGGATTCAGTTTGGTTTTTAAGAACCTGAGGATGGAGAGACATGGTCACAATTAGAGGATGGATTCTGAGTGTCCCCAACTCATCTGGGAAGCTAGTCCTGTGGCTGAGGCAGCAGGTGGGAAATGCAGAGTTCCTGGTGCCTGGTGTATCTTCCTCCCCATCTCCACTTCTGCAGAGGTAAGGGTACCAATAGGGTCAGAGCACCAGTGCACACAGAAGGACTGGGGATTATTCCAAGGCCTGGGCTAATGGAGCAGAAGCCTTCATAGACCCTGTGCTGCAGGCTCTTGGTTATTAGGAAGATGATGCTCCAGTCTTAGAAAAGCTACAGGACCACAAGGAGTGACCAGACTGGCATCCTGCCAGAGAGTTACAGCTGATGGTTTTATTTTTCAAAGTTCTTTTACATTTTTAAAATTTACTATATGTATGTATGTATGTATGTATGTATGTGGGCACCTGCATGCTATGGCACACATGTGGAGGTCAGAGGACAGATTACAGAAAGTGGGTCCTGGGGACTAAAGTCAGGTCATCAGGCTTGATGACAAGTACCTTAGCCCTACTGTTACAATTTTTTTTTCATTTAAATTTTCTGATTTATTTACTTTCATTTTATGAGTATGAGTGTTTTGCCTGAATGTATGTATGTGCACCACATGCATTCAATGCTCACAGAGGTGAGAAGAGGGCATAGGATTTTCTGGAACTGTAGTTATGAATGGCTGTTGGCTGTCATGTGGGTGCTGGGAACCCAACTCAGATCCTCTGCAAGAGCAGCCAGTGTTCTTGTACCACTGAGCCATCTCTCCAGCCCAGCTTTATTGTTTTTAAATTAGAAAAGATGCATAAAGTCTTTGAGCCTGTGATTCATGAAGAGCTCAGTTTTAGAATGTTCCTGGTCATCTGCCAGAGGCCAGCAGAGTTTTTGCTGGAGAAAGGAAACCTGCTATTCTGGGAACAAGTCCTGAGCTACTGGGAAGATGGGTGGGAGAGCCCACTTTGGGCATGCTTGAGAGCAGGGTACAGTTGGTCTTGCTATCCACTTTTTTTTTAAAAAAGATTTATTTTTTATGGAGCTGGAGATATGGCTCAGAGGGTAAGAGAACTGGCTGCTCTTGCAGAGGACCTGGGTTGGGTTCCCAGCAACTACATGGCAGCTAACAACCACCTGCAACTCCAGTTCCAGGGGATCTGATGCCCTCTTTTGGCCTCTGCAGGCATTCCACACACATGATGCATTTAAATACATGTAGGCAAAACACTCATACACATGACAAAAAATAAGTAAAAAAAAATTTTATTTTTGTGTGTGTACATGTCTCTCTGTATGTATGCCACATGTATGTGGGTGATGGCAGAGCTAGAAGAAATTGAACCACCTGGAGCTGGAGTTACAGGCAGTTATAAACTGCCTGATACAAGTTCTGGGAACTGAACTTGGGTCCTCTGGAAGAGAAGCAAGTGCATTTAACCACTGAGGCAACTCTGTAGTCCCACACTCCCCTTTTCATTTTCGAAAAAGGGTCTCATGTAGACCAGGATGGCTTCAAAGTCACTATGTAGCCAAGAATAACCTTAGCCTCTGATCCTCTATCTCCACCTCTCAAACAGGGATTACAGGTATACACCACTGCACCAAGTTTATGCAGTGCTGGGGACTGAACCCAGGGCTTCATGCATGTCAGGCAAGCACCCTACCAACTGAGTTACATTTCCACACCACTATCCAACTTTTTAAAAAAATTTATGAGTATGAGTGTATTGCCTGCATGTGTGTAAGTGCACACCTGGCATGCGATGCCCAGAGAGGTCAGAAGAGGGTGTCAGATCCCCTGGAACTGGAGTTATGAATGGTTGTTAGCCGTGATGTGGGTGCTGGGAATTGAACCTGGGTTGTCTGCAAGACCAGCCAGTGCTCTTAACCACAAAGCCATCTCTCCAGTCCTTACTATCCAATTTTTTAAGAAACAAAAATTCACATTAGAACAGTATAGTTTAGAAGATACACGTTAACTTAAAAAGAAAAAAAATCTACAAGATTTAAAAAGTCTTTAAAATGTTACACAGATTTCATTATCTAGAAGCTTCTCTTCTGTGTTCAGGAACAGTGTTAATCTGATTTTACCAAGAAAATACTAATAATATTCAGATTCCAATTGTCAGGCAAAACCCAAATTATTTCAAAGGTAACTTTTTCCCAAGCTTTTCCTTAGCATTTAAAAAAATTACTTTAATATCATCATAATTTGTGAATTTGTATGTGTGTAGAGGCCAGAGGACATCCTCAGGTATTGTTCCTCAGCTCTACCTACACTGTGTTTTGAGACAGGGTTTCTCACTAGCCTGGAGCTCACCAATAGCAGGCTAATGTTGGCTGATCAGTAAGGTCTAGGGAACCACCTGTCTGTGAGTGCCACCATGATCAGTTTTTTCATGTGGATTTGGGGGCTGAACTCAGGTGCAAGCATGTTACCCACATCTCAGTAACTGTGTGGAAGTTCAAGGGAAGCAGACTGGGCCATAGCTGCCCTTATCAGAAGTAGGGGAAGTACAAGAGTCATGACCCAGTACCCAGCCTTTCCTGAACCTGTCTCAGTCCCACCAGGCTAAGAAGACAAGGAGGCCTGAGCACAAAGTGTGGCATACCAGGGGCATCCTCAGAGAGGACAGGTAGTACTTACTGTGAGAAGTTCTCATGAATTGAGTTAAGCAAGCTAATCTGGGGAAGTGAAAAAGAGAACCATGTGTAAATAAAAGGCTGAAAAACCCTGAACACTACCTCAGTCATCAAAAGTTTGCCTGGTGTGTGGATAATGCTTCTGAAAGAAATGTATACCTTGTCCTCTAGATTAAAGTAACACAAGAAAGAAGAAAATAAAGGGCATGGTCTTACTTGTGTACTCTTCCTTAGAAAAATCCATCTCATCTACAACTCCTTTCCTACAACACCTTATCATAAGAATGTGGAAAGAGGGCTCTTCAAAGGGCCCCAATGCCAGGAGAAGGATGATAATACCAGGGCTCTTTGGACAAACTGCCACGTTAGCTCATTTCAATCTTTCCCCAAACCACTCTACTTTCAAGACTATCTCAGCCCAGGATAGGTCAGTGGGGTGGAGACCGAGAGCACACTGTCCATCCCTTCTTTCCCCCAGAACCTGCTTACCAACATGGCCAGATGCTAAGTGGTTCTGAGATATTCTGAGGAAACACATCTTTCACAGACCTGTCCTCATGGAAAGAGCCTCAGGCCCTACTGTCCTCCACCTGGCTGGTGACAGTTCCAGGAAGGGCTGTGTCTAGAGTCTAGAACCCCATGTCCCCTGGCTGTGCCCTGTTAACCTGCCTGCTCATGGTGAAGCAGTTACCAGGCCTGCATTCCCAGTTCACAGTATGCAATGTGGAAATTATATTCTTATCCTAAATACTGTAAAAAGAGGGTGTTTGGGGGCAGGATAGATGGCTCAGTGGGTAAGAGCACTGGCTGCTCTTTCCGAGGACTCAAGTTCAACTCCCAGCACCCAGGTGGCAGCTAACAACCATCCCTAACTCCAGTTCCAGGAGATGCGACGGCCTTTTCTGGCCTCTGTGGGTACTGCACACATGGGCACATTTACACATGCAGACAAAAGTCACGCATGTAAAATAAAAATAAATTTAAAAAAAGAGGGTGTTTTGTGTGTTTGTGTGTGTGCAGATACTCACATATGTGTGTATACATGTGGAGGACAGAAGACAAGCTCAGCTGTCCTTCCTCAGGATGCCATTCACCTTGTTTTTTGGGACAGAGTCTCTTACTGGCCTGGAGCCACCAGTAAGTAGGTTATGCTGGCTGGCCAGTGAGCCCCCAGGGATCCACATGTCTCTGTCTCCCCAGTGCTGGGATTACAAGTACATGGCCATGCCTAGGTTTTTAAAAATGTGGGTTCTGGAGGTTGAACTCAGGAATTTATGTTTGGAAGGCAAGCACTTTCCTGACTGAGCCATCTCCCCAGCTGCTCATGATGGCATTGCTCACAGGGTACCACAGAACAGCTGTCTACCAGCTGACCTTCACCTCGGACAATGAGCTCCCAGGGAAGCTCCTGCTTGTGGTGAGGAATCCCAGTGCTTGGCATGACAGGCACTGTGTCTACTGGAACTGAACACCTCCAACCCAGTGCCAACCATTTGAACTCACTGGAACCAACCATACTGTCCACAGCCCATCTAAGTCATCTTCTTTCCATACAAGCTCTTACCTCTTTTTCCAGATAAACCTTTTTGTCGTCCAGGGTGTTATATAAAGTGAAGAACTGCTTGGTTTCTTTGTGCACTGCTGAAACTGAAAAAGTAAAGACATTAGCAGATTATCAGGGACTGTGTGGATCGAAGTGCCCTTCCCTTCATGAGGCATGCACCAGGACTCAGGGCTGCCAGGGTCACATACATTTAATGATCATGGAAACCTTTGTCTGTGCATGTACACGTGTATATGTACATGTGGGGGCCACAGGTTGATATTTGGGGACTTTCTCAATTGCTTGCCACCCTATTTTTTGAGACAGGGTCTCTTATTAAACCTAGAGTTTGCTGACTTGGCTAGTTTGGCTGGCCAACAAACACCAGGGCTCCTCCTGTCTCCTCCTCCTCAGTGCTGGGATTACAGGTGGATCACCACATCCGGTTTATGTTTTTCCCCATAGCTCTGGAGCTAGAACTCAGGTCCTCATGCTGGCATGACAAGCACCTGATCAACTGAGCCATCTCCCCAGCCCGAGCGCTGTTTCGAGCCAGACATGATGCAATTACAGGGCAGACTGAGGGAACACTGGCTTTGGATGATGGGTGAATACAATGCTGTAAAGCAAAGGCCACACCAGTGAGTCTCTTGAGAGGAATGAGCAAACACTATCTTGAGATGTTGGGGCAATATTTCCCAAGAAGCTGGAAAGGGGTTCAGGACTTGGGTGACAGCTACGTGGTTGACCACTACAGGGGGCTCAAAGAAGCTGTGCTGGATAGCTTTAGTGTAAACTTGACAGACCTGGGTTGAGGAAGCCTCAACTGGGGAATTTCCTCCATTGGGCTGGCCTGTGGCCATGTCTGTGGGGCATCTTCTTGATTGTTGAGTGATGTTGGAGGGCCCAGCCCGCTGTGGGTGGTGCCACGCTTTGGCAGGTGGGCTTGTGTTGTATAAGAAACAGGCTGCACAGGGGCCAGGGGAGCAAGCCAGTAAGCAACACTCCTCCATGGCCTGTGCTCCAGCTCCTGCCCTGAGTTCCTACCTGGGGCTCCTGATGAACTGTGACCTGAAATAAACCCTTTCCTCCCCAAGTTGGTATTGGTCAGAGTATTTTGTCACAGCAATGGAGAAACAAACCGAACAGAAGGCATTTGTAGAGAGGCAGTCAGGGCACCACAGCACAGCACCCAAGGCTCTCTGGCAGGCCTGGTGATGAAGACAAACCCTTCTTGGGGGCATTTGTGGACCGTGGTCTGGAAAATGCTGCACCATGCTAGAGCAGACAGAGCCCATCACAGCCCCCCGACCCCCGTCTGTTTGGTCAATGCACCTACTCTGACGGTAGAGTTCAATGAACCGCTTCTGATACTGTATCAGCTCAGCTCGGCTGGGAACTTCATCAATCTTGCGATGCAAAATAGCTATTTCTCGATTTCTTCGAGCCTAATGCAAAGGGAGGGGGAGAACACCATTTGGTTAAAGTCCTTTCCCCCCATGCTGTGCTAGTCACAGGCCCCTCAATGAGGCACATATCAGTCACCGGCTTGATTCCCCATATGAGATGTGAGCTGGCTTTCCTACCTTGCAACATGTGGGGAAGCTGCTGTGACCTGAACCATAGGAGGCATGAGGTCACAGATTTGGGGGCAGGCAGCAAAAGGAGTGTCTCACATAAGGGTTATGCTACCCTGTCGCCACCCCAAACCACATTCCAAATTCCTTGGCCTGCCTGGAAGCCCATAGCTCACTCTTCAGACCCTTTCCATGGGCTGGGAAGACTGTCCAACTGGCTGGACATGGACACAGTGGGGTGGGCTGTGGTATGGTGGACCGTGTCCTGGGAGCAAGCTGCTTAGTTCCCATATGTCTGGGTCTTGGGATTGGTGGGCTGCCTTCAGAGCTGTGTTCTTCCTGTCTCCCAGTCTTCCCAGTTCTTTGGCCTGCTTCTCGCTTAGCAGCAGGGGTGGACCTCTCAAAGAAACACAGCTTCCAGGTAGGACACCCACCACCAACTCTTGCAACCAAACCCCAAGTACAGTCCTTGCAGTTCTGGCCAGAGAGAAGCATGTACTTCTTCCTCCAGCCACGTTCTGCTTCTATTTTTCCTCACAGGAATCTGAAGGTACAATCATTCCATGTTTGTGGCTTTTATAAATATTTAATTACTTATTTTATGTGTGTGTGGGGGCACACATATGGAAGTCAGATGACAACCTGTGTGTGTGTTGGGGGGGTAGAGAATTGAACTTAGGTCATCAGGCTTGGCTGCAAGAACCTTTACATGATGAGCCCTATTCCATCTTTTAATTTCGCATTTGTTTTCCCTAACCACTGACTCCTCATCAGCACCTTCACTTAAAAAAAAAATCTTTTCTTGAACCTTACCACTCATCAGCCACCAGCCTCTTGCTTTTTATTCACAGTACCCCGTTGCATGCACAGTGATTCCAGGTTTCTCTGGGCACCCAATCCTCTAACCCACAGCTCCTGGGCACTCTCCACTAGCCCAGCAAATAGTTCTTGCCAAATGCTGTATGGAAACTTGCTCCTAATTGAAACTCTCCCTCTAGGAAGAAGTTTGAATGTAGGGAAGTCTGCCTGTAGGCTCAATAGACTCAGGAAATAAACTACACATGACTAGGAAATGTAAACTTTACGAGAGTCACCAGTGCTCCTCACAAAGATTATGAAACAGTCAATAACTGCTGGGGAGAGAGAATGACCAGCTAAGCTGCCTTGAAGATACTCTCCAACCTGTCAAGCTGCCTGCAAATCATGCAGACAGATCCAGGGTTTCAGCTTTCCTGAGTTGTCACCCATGCTGGGGTGGGCTTGAGTCATTCCTGCTTCTGTAAGTAACTACTTATGAGTACTCCTGTAAGTAACCTCAATAAAAACTCACTGGTTCACCAAGTCAACTTTGGAGTAATTGTTACTTCGGTCTGTTGTTGTGTTCACCTTATGTGGTGAGCAGACATATGCGTGTCTTATCTCCCCAGGAATTCACTCACAACACCAAAGTCACTGCAGGTTTTCTCAGAACCTATCTAATGGGCAAGCCTCAGCTTCCAGCTCCCCCATCCCTGCTACACTTCCCAAGCTCTCCACTGAGCTCTCAGCCTCTGTGAGCAGCCCTTGACTCCTGCCCTCTGCCGAGAGCTCAGTCTCATCTGAGTGGGTTCATTCCTTTTTAAGGCTGTTCTTGCTTCACATGCTCTGTAGGGTTTGTCCTTTGTCTTGCCCACACATTCACAAGCTGTTATCTATACAGGGTAGACACAAGACCTCCACTCAAACCCTTCTCACAGCTGGATCTGGCCTCAGTCATTGCTCACAATGGTATTTTTCCACTTTTGTGTGCGTGCGTGCATGTGTGGCGTGTGTGTGTGTGTGTGCGCGCACACATGTGAGTTCAGGTGCCCATGGAGGCCAGAAGAGGGCATCAGATCCCCTGGAGCCTGGGTTACAGGTAGTTGTGAGTCACCCAACATGGGTGTGGGAACTGAACTCAGGTCCTCTGCAGAAGCAGTATGTGTTCCTAACCACTGAGCCATCTCTCCAGCCCCTTAAGTCCATTTTTTCCCATACAGAACGTAAGGCTAATAATACCCAGCTGAGGTGAAGTTCAATTCCAATGAGCAATGCTAAGAATAACACAAAATTGGTGATGATGTTAGCAACACCTTAAGTCATGACGTGACTCTGGATACAAAGGGGCAGCTGAGCAGCAGCCTTACTCCCTGGTCTCTCTGTCTCCTATACACTGAGACATTCAGTTCAGTCATAGGACATTCATACTAATTATCTGCACTGTTCACTGTTGTTTTCACTCACCTGTAGTAAACGGATCTTGTAGAGTTTCTCTTTCTCCATATTATATTGTCTATCCAGGTCTTCCTAAAAACAAGAACAATTATCTGGAAATGGAAAATTTTCATTCTCTGATCGAGTCTCTGGATGTTCAGTATGTCTCACCACATTCTCTTGGCCTAAGCCCTCAAGTTCCTTCTCTCCAGTGGCCAAGTTTAGTCTAGTAAGACCCACTTCACACTCTTGAGACCTTTCCACACTGTTTCGTAACACCTCTTCTTCATCAGGATCCTGGTTAAATACAATCCCAGGATGTATAAATAAATATTTATATAAAATAGTGGCGCAAACCTTTAATCCCAGCACTTGGGAGGCAAAGGCAGGTGGATCTCTGTGAGTTCAAGGCCAGCCTGGTCTACATAGTGAGTTCCAGGACAGCTGGGGCTACAGGGAGACCCTGTCTCAAAAAGACAAAAATAAATAAAATTTACTTATTAAATATGTATACAAAATAATATTTATACAAGATATTTATATAAATTTTTAAAAACCCAAATATTTACTACTATACTAGTGCATGTGTGGGTGGGTGTACATGTATCATGGCACAAGTGACGGTCAAAGGACAACTTTATGGAACTGGTTTTCTCTTTCCACCTTTATGGGGGTTCTGGGAATTGACTTAGGTCATCAGGCTTGCAAGGGAAGCACTTTACTTGCTGAGTCATCTTGCTGTTCGCTAATCCAGTGTTGAGTGAGTGCCTCTAAATCTACATGCTCTTATAACTCCATACACCAGAAAAACCTACACTGAGAGATGACTCACTGCTTAAAGATTCTTTCTTCTTATCTCTGAATTTGCAGATGACACTGGTTTTCTGTCTACCTTTTTGCCTGGACCTATAGTATCCAAAACAGCTACTAACCATATATGGCTATTTAAACTTACATCAACTAAAATAAGAAAAAGTTCAGTCTTTCTTTTCAATAGCCAGGTTCCCAGATGTTGGATGATATGGATGTAAACATTTTCATCATTATAGAATGTTCTTTTGGGCAGAGCTGATGCAGAGGAGAGAAGGTGTGGCTCCACGGAGAACTAAACTATACGGCCATATAGTTTGTTGCCTCAAGAGAAAGTTTTGGAAGGGGCATGTGTCCTAGTTAGCTTTGACCATTGACTTGACACAACCTAGAGTCACCTGAGAAGGGAGTCTCAATTATGGAACTGCCTAGATGAGACTGGCCTGTGGGTCTAAGTATGTGTGGAGGGAGCAGGGAGCACAACCGTCCCGATTGTTAATTGATGGGGGAGGGCACAGCCCACTGTGGGCAGCACCATTTTGCCTGCAGGTGGTCCTGGGCTGTTCAAGAAAGCTAGCTAAATTGGCCTATGAGTGAGCCTTCAAGTTCACATGATCCTCCATGTTTCTGCTTCAAGCTCCTGCTTAGTTCCCGACCCGACCTTTCCTCAGAGATGGACTGTGACCTGGAAGCTGAAATTAGCCCTTTCCTCCCCGAAGTTGCTTTTGCTTTTGGTATTTGCCATAGCAACAGGATAAACTAGAGCAGCATGTACATGTGTGAACATGCACACACACATACACACAGGCTGCAAGCACTGAGCCATTTCTCCAGCATCTGTCATGTGGCCAACACAGGCCTCTTCTATCTTCAGTGAGAGGTCTAAAGCAGTACCAAGCCCCCAGAAGGTCAGCAGAAAAGGAGGCAGCTGCTCTAAAGCAGGCACAGGAAGCTGTGCTGGGAGACTAGGAAGGAGGCTGATGCATCCTCTGAGAACACCAGTCTCAAGGATGAGTAGGTACTTACGTTGTGAGTCATGGCAGAGGTCAGGGCACCGTGTGGCTCTCCATTGGAGAGAGTCTGAAAAGGACGAAAACACAGTCAGTACCTTTCCCCAGTTAAGGGAAGAGGGTAGAACCTGAGAGTCTAGGTGTGGGGGAAGGGGAAATGAGGAGAACCCCAGACCTGAATGTACCCTGGAGTGCTGAAGAGTGAGCTGTCGGTGAAGCCCAGGTATTAAGCTGTCCTTCAATACTTGTCAGTAGCATCCCAACAAGCTCAGGTGTAGTAATGCTGAGTATGTTTGTGGTGTAACATGCACAGCTGTAATCCCAGCACTTGAGAGGCTTTTGTACCCATGTGTGTGTAGAGGTCAGAGTCTGATGTTGGTGTCTTCCTCTATCGTTCTCACCTCATTTATTTAGACATTTCTCATTACATTTATCTGTTTATTTATAGTATGTATGTGCACGAGGGTGTGTATGTAGAGGTCAGAGGATAGTTTGTGGGAGTCTTATTTTTATGTGTATGAGTGCTTTGCCTACATGTGTGTAAGTGTACCCATGCTGTGCAACGCCTACGGAAGTCAGAAGAGGGTATCAGAACCCCTGGAACTATAATTACAGAAGGTTGTTAGCTGCCACGTGGGTGCCAGAACCAAACCCAGGTCTTTTGCAAGAGAAGCTACTGCTCTTAATCCCTGAGCCACCTCTCCAGTTCCATAAAGTGAAGAAATTTTTTAGAAGGCCTAAGTGGGAAACAGAACTCAGATATTTCTTAGGGAAGAAAGGCCAGAATTTTGTGCTCAGGGCTCTCCTTCCATACCCTGCCACCTTTTCTCCAGAAGGAAGGGACGGCATCAAATGGGGCTAAGAAAAATCATAGGAGAAGGTTGAGAAACGCACTGTGTGTATGTGTATGTGTATGTGTGTGTGTGTGTGTGTGTGTGTGTGTGTGTGTGTGTATGCATGAGCACATGTGTGCAGGCCAGAGGAAGACATCCAGTGTCCTTCCTCCATCAGTCTCTGCTGTATGCCCTTGAGACAGGGTGTCTCACCGAATGGAGCTAGGCTGGCAGTCAGCAAGCCCCAGTGATCCTTCTGTCTCCACCCCCACGGCACAGGGGTTACAGGCACATGTTAGCCATGCTTGGCTTCTTACACAGGTGCTAGGGATTCAAACACAGGCCCTCATGTTTGTGCAGTAGGCCCTCTTACCCACCAAACCATCTCCTCAGCTCTAAGAAATGCACATCAACAGGCCCGAGTCAAGTAACCCAGCAGTCCCTCTTGGTACATGATTAATGGTTGGTGCCAGCAGCACAGCTGTTTCCTCCAGGCTATTGCCATCTCAACAGAGTAGCCATGAGGACAGGCACAAGACCCTCACAAGATTAAGCCTGGTAAACAGCCCATCACACAGGGCAGAGAAAGGTTCATAAGCATCTTCCCCTCCCTAAGATCATGTAAGAGGTAAACTACTAATTAAGTGGGACTCTTCAGTGGCATAGCTACTTGTAAGTCAGCCATGACTTCCTACTATGTAGCTGCCTGTCACCTGCCCACGCCCCTGTAACTAACTCCAGTAGACTCACTGGTTCACCAAGCTGGACTTGGGTGGAATCATTCCTCTAGCCTGTGAGCGCCCTGCCTATGTGAAGAAAACAGAAGCTTCTTTCTGTCGTCCCCCCCCCCCCCCCCCCCGGGGAAGTGCAAAAAACCCCGGGCAGGAGACCAGAAAGTAAGCAGTGGACAGGGGGACGGAGAGAAGGCCCTACACTTTTGTC